AAACTATTACGCGATCCAGTACATCATCAGAATCGGTAAGCCGATGGTTATCATGATCGGGACGTGGTCGTGCAGGGACAGCGAACCGTCACCGGGACTGGGGGTGTCTCCCACACAATCTGGCCCCTCGAAAGTGCAGTTGGTGTTATACTCCTCGTAGCCACCAATGCCACGGTAGCGGCACGCGTACTCATCCTTGGCACCATCGACCGTCATTTTGGTGGTGTAGCTGATGCTGTACTGTGTCACTGTCCGGGTCGCTGCCGCCACACCTTCCTGTTGGTCACTGTTTTTCCACAAGGACAGCGTGCCGTTCGATTTCCCGTCGACATCGGTGGCAGAACAACTGTAAGATACATCATCACCACACTTGATATTCGACGCAATGTCCGAGCACTGGATTGATGGGAGTTTCCATTTGACGACTAGCTTGGCAGCCACGCCCCCGTCTCCGGTCGGCACGATTGATTCACTGAAGAACTGGCAGTAGAGGATGTAGCCGTTGTCGTAGCGGTCCAAGCCGTCGATGGTCACCCGATAATCCATGGTTTTGTCCCCGTTATCGATGAGACTGGCAGCGGAGAAGCGGGACTGTTCTCCGGATGGATCGACAATCTGGTTTCCTTCTGCGATGGTTACGCGGTTGGTACTGCCGAACGGTTTCCACTCAAACTTAGCTGAGGAGAACGGGGTGTCGGTGAATTCAGCACGGCACCTGCATATGGCCGTGTCACCCTCGTTAAACTCCTTGGCCGGTGTTCCATCTGCCTTTAGAAATTTGACACTAATCGGTATCGCTGATACAGCCAACCCTAGGCCCGCCAAGAGCAAAACAGCATACCACTGCATCGTGGAAAAATTAAGGGAAATTTTACTGGTATCTTAGCAGTTTTCGACAAGAAGTGATCACAGCTTCAAGCACTCAGTGCGCCTAAATCGTCAACTGGGCAATGAATGTTATAACACGACGGGCGTAGCCAGAGCAGGGGCCTAGTTGCGATGCGATGCAGGCAGAATGTTTATTAATAATTTTCAGGTTCGCACCATTGTCAAGGTGATGTCGGGCATCACACCAACCCTCATTCCCGGAGCATCGTCCCAAGGGCTGCAGCTCTGTAATGTTTGACACGATAGCTTGGTAACAAAATAATAGGAACGGTCCATGATCGTGACTGGTGCTTTATTACTTCCTTACACCAGGGCCCGTCTACTGAGGTTCTGAAACCCGGAAGTCAGGTCAGTCGGAGGGACGCCTTCGTCGAAAATTACAGGTGGGATATTGCACATCATTCAAGCGAACGCAATTGTTGGGTTTGAGTTACAACATCCCGAGAGGATGGCGGACCCTTCCGCCTTCAGTACTTAATTTATGTAATGATGTATCCAGCGGGAAGCGGGGAGTGGGAGTGAACGGTGCCCCTAGAGACAACTTGTCGATTTTTAAAGGAAACCATGAGCGCCTGCATTTATAGAAACTACAACTTGTCTTTGGGTGAGGTTTCTTTAAAGGATAAAAAAAGATTTGGACAGTCGCTTTTCGGAATCCAATTTTTGGCAAGAGTAAAAAAAAGCTCACTCTCCAAAAAAGTGAGTCCCTTAAAATTACTCTAACAAGTGACAACCGCTTTTAAAAGAGTGAAAACCATTCCAAAAAAGTGAAACTCATCCCAAAAGAGGAGCCGTGAAGAGAAAACGATTTTCAAGTTGTTACTTCATTGGCTCCTTGAAGGAGTGGAAATTTCATTCTTCTGGAGTGGTTTTCGCTCGTTTTAGATCGGTTTTCACCCTTTCATGCAGGGACTCAGTCTTTTGGAAGTGAATTTTTCACACTTTCAATAATGAGTACTCTCATAGCGTCGGAACAGCCCTTGTTTTATATCTAGAACTCCTAGAAAGGACGAATGGCATACCAGTAGCCTGCAAAGAGCAACACTTTGATCAAATCCAGAGGACTACTGCCGTTAGTGGGGAAACTCCCCTCATATCAGTGAGCCACTGACAATCGGATATAGCGCCACCAGGCGACGGGTGTCTTTGCTCACTTGTGAAAGGACATTGACCTGCGACACAGTCCGCTCACTTGTGAAAGGACATTGACCTGCGAAACAGTCCGCAGGCCCTGCGCATGGTTCATGTATAAACGGAACATTATAATTTCATTTCATTTAGTACTTTTCAGGTAAGACAAAATAAAATACAAGCACATATACAATCAAGGAACAGCAGTCAAGGTGCTTTTCCAATACTCAACTTGGGCCCCGCCTCAGGCTTCGTTCCCAAAACCAATCCTCGATGGTGGGCTTTTAAATCATAAATGATGATTTGATTACTGTAATTTCTGGCTCGCTTGCATCTTATTTGATGTTTGTGGCACTATTAAACTAATTACTGCGCTTACAGCTTCAACGTCAACTAGTTAAAAAAAAGTTGAAGCCTAAGGCGGAGCCGAAGTTGAGTATTGGAAAACGGCCCAACAAGACTGGACATGGCAACATGAAGCACCCCTGAGGGATCTCATCGTTGTTCATTTTCCTTGACGGAAGAGCTGATTCTCCCAGTCTGTACGGACTGCTCTTCGTGCATACGGCGCCGACAGCCAACCGCAAATTTTTGTGTCGAAAGAGTCTCATTACTTGAGCGAATAGGTTCATAATTTCCGCCACCCCTCCCCGTTCAATCGTTTCACCCTCAGCTCGTCATCTGAAAAACGTACGTGAATTTACTGACCAGGGGAGCAAAAATGTAATTTTATGGCAGTTAATTGAGATATTAAACAGAGCAGTTCATATCAAAATAGTGGTAGTTTTCTAAGAAAACTGAAAATTGAGTACAATCATGGAGGCAGGAGGAAATTGGAACTGCATGCCGTCGAGCTGTTTGTTTTGTTTGTTTTAATGCCGCTTTCAGCTACGCAGGCTATCTGCGCCTGCAATCGACATTGCTTTACGAATCATGTTTCCAAGTTTGTTTCACCTCAGCCCTGCAATGTATTTTTTTTTTCAGAAGACAGGCGTAATACACATAATGATCTGTTTTTGTCTAAATTTCAAAGAAATGGCAAGCCTATGATGTTCGCCGTGGATGATACATCGTTCAGGCATGACCTCCCATGACAACGTGCTAATAGGCGTGGTACCCAGCCAGAGGTGCACGATAGCACCTTTTAAACTTGTATGCAGTAATGGAAGCGCTGACGGGCGGCTTTTCCCACATATTTTAATGTGACGTCACGCAATTGGTCAAATGTGAGTCATTGGTACTCATCGGCCAGCGTCGCGCGTGCATCATGCGTACTTGTTAGAGAAACCAACGATGCATAGTTATACACACGTACTATATTTTTAATGTAGGCTATGTCGCGTATTGTAACTTGCGAGGAAGAATCTGCATTCTAGGTCCAAAACAAGTGTTTCCGAAGCTCAATGTGCCAGATGATTGGTTGGAATTATGGCCAAGAACACTTCAGGCATGAGCAATGGAAATAGCGGCATTCTAAATGGTTTTACGGAGGTGAAAAGCAAGGTAAGTTTTCCATCTGAATCGCATACGAACGTACTCATGAAATCACTTGCACTACACTCAATAGCACTCCGACCGTGCAGCGTGCTTGATCAATGCTTGTAACGCACCGACGTATACCGTTTTATCTGGTCAATGATGAACGGGCCCGACGTCCTCCCCGTTCAATTCAACGTGGGAGCGGGGCAGACGTCGGACCCCACACTGTTCTGGGGGGTACTCTAGCCCAGGCATGCCAGGTGGACTCCCTGACCGTACAACGTCACGGAAGGAGTCCAGGTAGGCAATATAAATGATGCAAAATCGGGCGGACTATTTTGTAACTAAAATTTCCAACACTTCTACCTTTTCCATGGAGCCAGTTTCACGCTTGTAACTCCTATGCATCGTTATCTCCACATTCAACACATCACCACCAAAGACAAAAACAGGAAAATAAAGTCAGACGTTATGTTAATTCTTGCCATTGTTGTAGACTGTTGTTTTCAGCCGCTCTCCAGTGCAGTTCGTACAGTGTGCGCGTGCAACTACATGTAGGCATACGAGATTCCGAGCGAAACTACATGGTCCGACTGGAACCAGTGAAACTGAAGTCTAAATGAATCCACTGGTTTCGAAAACGCTCACCGCACAACGGCACGGTGGTTCTCAGCCACGACTACCATTGCATTGATCTCCATGTCGAGTACACATAACATCGGGCCAGGGGCGAGGCTGTGGCTTGCGTTGGTAACAGTCGGCCTACATGGTTACCTGCACACAAGCTGAGTCTACTACGGCCAGTAGGGGAAATGTTAAATTCACGATTTGTACAAATCCTGGCCATTTTTGAGCATGTATTATGTGTTAACAGGTGGACTTAAAATAGACAAAAGGTGTCCACAAAATTCGATAGAAGTTAAGGGACCTGGCAGTTCCGTGTCGAGGGGAGAGGATATTATCCAGCAAGGCTTTGGCACATTTCTGTTGCTAGCAATTTGTTCCAATTTGTTTCTGTTGATTTGTTCCATTTAAAAGTTATACCGAATAACTGTTTTTAGAGATGGAGAATTTTTCCAGAAAGCGCTGGCTTGATAAATTTTTGGTAATAAACTAGACTGATATGAGAGTCAAAGACGGTGATTAACAATCTCTTGGGCCTGAATTTAAAAACGAAAAATCACCTACAATGAGGTTTAAAAACTTTGACACAGTCTAGCTCTAGCTATCTGTCCATTGCTCTAAAATCCAACTCGTCACTGCCAATTACCAATTCAGTCTGCTTATTGTATGTTTAGTTACCGAATAAAAAGGAAAGGCCAATCAACAGCACAATTTCAGTGTAGTATCGCTCTCGCCTGTTCATCATGATCATCATGCCTGCAGTGTAATCCTCTTTTGATTCCTCAAGATAAATTACTGTTTCATTTTAATAAAAATTGGATCTCTACAACATTGTGTATTTATACATCTTTAACCAATAATCCTCTACAAACAAATTAAACATGTTAAACACTTCAAAGAAAGATCGCTGATGAACTTCTTGCCATACAACTACAAGAACCCTACACATACAAAGCCTTCTACGCTAACGGAGGTTATTCTTATAAAATAGCAGCTTGTGTCGCAAATTTATGTTTATAAACCGAAATTTAAAGCAGAACAAAATATGAACATTTTAGGGATAACCAATAGTGGGTTAATTGGTCAGTCTGAAGCCCCCGATTCAACAAAAACGGAACTGCATTTTTTATATCGGCTTGACGGCACTCAGGTAAAAGCCGGGTACCAGTCACAGCCTGCATGTAGCAGGCGAGCAACAGACTGGAAATCGCACAGGTGTAGTGTGTGCATGCAGCTCGGATTCCTGTACTGTACGTGCGTGCACTTTACTACTTGACTCGAGAACGGATGAATTACGTCTACAAAAGTAACGTTATCTCTCACTTATTTTCCTCGATTTTGAAGTCAGTAGTTCGTTTTGAAATTCCTAAACCCCCAGACGGATAGATAAGGCCTCAAAGAACTTGTAAACATGAAATATTAGTTTCTTCAACAAGGCAAACCAAGAACAAATTAGTGGTCATTTTGTACACAACTTTTATACCCTGGACGTCAGTCGTGATGAAAGCATGCCCCTTTGTTACATGCTGAGTGCAAAATTTCACAAAAGAGCAAGCCTTCATTGTTGAAATTGAAAGTCACTCAGCATGGTCAGTGGCTAGCCCCACATGTAGGGATGTAGGGTGCCTTGAAATCCCATGCAAGAAGCGCTGCTTTCGTTTTTTAACATGGCACTGCCCACGGTCAGCATAGAAATATCATAGGCCCGGTTTTCAAGGCACCATACATGTACATTGGAAAATATATGGTTTTGGAAAGCTTTAGGGTACTTATATAAAAGTCCAAACTCTGAGGAATACGCCGGTGTAAGTAACATTGTTGAGTCATTCTCATTTCGGAAGATATCAAGATTCAAAGTTTGTGAAAATCCTGCAGTTTCGATTTCAGGCATTTAAGACATGCCTTGAAGTAGGGCTGTGGTGGCAACAGATAAGAGACAGATTGTAAAAGAGAGCCACTACAGCCACATGTGGAGCTAGGTCATTGGCGTGCATCTATGAAACTTTGAAGGGCCTAACTACATTTCCCTTGGCCCTAACCTACCACCAGGATTGTGAGTAGGGAGTCCAGTAAAACGGCACCTCTACATTTTATTTCTGAAAGCGTGTAAAAGTTTCTGTTTTTAATCAACGAATTCTGCCCTTTTTGTGCATCAAATTCTTTATTTTAAACAGCAGTTGTGTAGTAAAAGAACCGATATTTGTGTTAGTACCATTTATTATGTCTCTTTGCGTCGAGTTTTGGGTGTAAAATTTGATGAATGCGAGATCGGAGCCACTTCACCACGTCAACAACTGTGTGCGACCATCTTTGTTTGAGGTAGTGTGACACGGTCTCATCTAAGCCTAATATCTCGCGAGACTTGACCGGGTTCGGAACGATGATGTCATCATCTTGTAGATCTAAAAATACTCGTTCATTTGATGTATGACTCAAGGCATCTGACTGAAGCACCGTCAAGCTTTGTCTCAGTTTGTGAAGACTACAAAAAGGTAACAAAAATGTGCATTTTTCTTTTGAAAATCCCCCGAAACATGCACAAAGAGTTGATGAAACATATATGGAATGGTGTTTATTTGGAAGCTTGGAATTTCAGGAAGGAAAGGGAAGTTGTTTTTTTGTCAAAAGTCGATGTCAAACTGGTGCCGAACAGCCCTTTTGTATAGGCGTGCTGTCACGCAACTGTGCACATGGTGTATGCATATGCTACAGATTGATGCTTGGTGCACGGGGAGCAAGATGCAAATAACAAGCACATAAATCACACATGTTGTTTCAATCAAATTTTATCAAAAGACCCCGTCAAACATGAAGAGACTCAAAATAACTCATGACACCTGACGGACTTGGTACTCTATTCTTATTTATTGATGACAAAATATCACACCAAATCTACGCTTCAGTGATCTTTCACACATCACTGAACATTTCAAGCCCAACCTGTCCTGTTACTGTATACATGTACATGTATCCTATATTTTTTATTGAAAAGTTGTCCATAATACAAGATATTGTTTACTTTACACTTCCTCTGTGACTTAATTACAAATCTTTTTCCAACTCTTGCATGTCTGGAAGTGGAACCGATGAGGATCAAGACTCCATGTGGTTCAAATACATTGATAAAAATAAAACTTGTGTCTACCCTCAAAAAGCGACGGACTAGTTACACCTAATTTTAATTTTAAAAATTTCATAATTTCACTATACTAACAGCCATTAAAATCCTAACCACCCAATAGTTGCTGGACCTAACCTTACCCTTAAGCTACATGTGAATTTTGTACCATTCAATTTCTTTTGGAGTTCTTTTTCCAGTGGTACTAAATTTGTGGGGGTCACACAAAAAAGACCTGAAAAGTGCCAGACTTCCTACTGTGGGGTCCGATGTCTGACCCTTTCATTTATGGTGGATGTCGCACCCCACAGTTCTTGGGGGTAGGCCTAGCCCTGACCCTGCTAACAAGATTCTACAACAGACAAATTGCCACTTTGGGAAGAGTTCCATACACCATACACAGACATCATTTAACACCCTTTGCACAAACAGGCTATGAGACTGGTCTGAAAAACTATTCTTTTGTGTAAACACTTCAACATTTTCTTTGCTAGGCCTAAATTTGACCTTTTAGGACATGTAAATGTAATCACTTTCTAAATTGGTGTTGTCCATATACAGAACTCTTACCACCTCTTTTAACGGTCGTGCTATTTATCGTCAACTCACACATAAGTAGCATCAACAAAGCATTAACAACTTGAAAATATACTCTTAAGGTTTAAAAGTCATTTTATCATATTTTACATACTCTAACATGTTCCACTGTGAAAGAAAAACAGGGAATTTTATTCCAGATTCACTCAGACTTCTTTCTTTTCTCTGCCGTCCACTTGAAAATAAGATGGCGGCCGGCTTGGCTGCTCGAGCAGAATGGACTTTGTCGCTCAAATTTCTGCACTAAAATATCAATTTAGATAATGTGACACATCGAATGTGATACATGTTTGTAGGAGCCTAATCAATATGGTAAATATACAATATTTGCATAAATATGCTTGATTAACTTGTTGGCATTTTGGTAATGCTTGTTGTCGCTGAACAGCATGCCCCTCCCCCAAGCAGCTCCAAACTACATGTACGTGTATTCATTAGACTTAGCCTAGGCTAACATGGCTGAGACTAGAGTAAGACAGTAAGCAGAGTTCCAAGTCAGATTCAACCAGTGGAACTTTGTTCAACTTATCCATCTCGGGGACACCATTGATGTCAGTTGTCCTGCCATGTGCCAAAGACTTTGCTTGTTATTTTTTCAGCATGTACGGCTCCGTTGTCAGCATGCAGCATGTGTGATCAGGTTTCTGAGGAGTCAAAATGACCTTGCCTTTTTGAAAAAGAATCT